ATTGACACTTGTGCCTGAAGTAATCCCAGAATCAAAATTGTCATTAAACGCTTCGAAATTTTGGCTGTGAGTGGTGACAAAGAACTCTTCGTAATAACACGAGTCAGCGTAGTATGCGTTGTTGGTGCAATCTTTAAACAAAAGCAATGTTACCAAATGCTCTTGTTCTGGAAACTCTTCAACCAACGACTTTGCATATTTCAATCTGTTTTTACATTTATCACACTTGGAACCACTTGCATCGGTGAGATTCTTGATATGATAGTTGATAAAATCAATTTCAGTTGCTGGTAAATTAAGGAAAATTTCATCTGTAATGTCGTCTCTAGATCTCTTGGCAATAAGTTGACGCTGAAGAGAACTGTGTCCAGGGATGGTTTGTGTCCAAGCACAAAGCGCCAAAGCGAGTGTTATAATTACCTTCAAAGCCACCATTGGTGATTCAAGGCCATTGTCAAGCCCGTATTTTCTCTAGATTTACTTCATTTTATACTCCATTTTGGCATTGTTTACACTCCAATCATTGAGACTAATCAGTGCACATGGGCCAACAATTAAATTGAATGTTTATTTTACTCTACCTTTGAAAACAATGGAAATTCCAATCGGATTTAATTTTCAACCGTACATTATTTTAAGTAATTATGCATTTCGCAACCTTAATTTTAAGAAGTGTAGGGCAAAACATTTTCTTATTGACAATACACGTGCTCCTGTCAGTAAATGAGTGTATCTTCATCACCTTTGATTGTAAATAGGAGGTTTTGCTTTGTTTTTGAAACACCTGATCAATTTTGTGTGGGGACCCGCTGCCTTTGGACAATTCTTTTGGCAACTCCAATTCTTCACAATTGGCAAGACAGTACATCGTTCGTCTAATTTTGTCTCATGCCTAATTATTCTTCATTAAGGCGTTGAACATCTTCCAAAGGTATAATCACTAACAATCTCTCTCTGGTGGGCTTTTTCTTATGATATATGCCCTTTTACCTATCACCAACAAAGGTTTAAGAAGCTTTAAATGTATATCGGATTCAAACGTTACATCAAAGTATGAAATGTCTTCAATTCATTCATAGCCCAATCACTGATCAAGTACACTATCCAAATGCGACCGCTGTAGTGTCACTTGTAATTTTCTCTCCAACTTTTTGCTGCACGTCATGTGAACGGAGATTTACCACCGAGTCTTCTCATTACCGCAGCAGACAAAATATTGTACACCTATGACAAAACCCACATCTTCCACTCAACCCTTCCCTCCTCCCTCTCTCCATACATCAAAGCATGACAACAGAAAGTGAAGGAATTGATAGAAACGAAGGGTCTGACCATTCAGGAACACCTTCTGTCGATTCCGACAACTCAAATTCTTCTCGAGGAAATAATAAAAGTAGTCAAACTACAACCCACCTACGGCCCTCATTACAAGGCGTAGGGCGTTCAAGTTCATCCTCGAATGTATCAGTCAACACTTCCAACCTCATTTCTCATCGAAAACCCCATCCATCGAGGCTAAAGACACACAATAGATCATTGTCCCACAATAAATTGCTAAACAAATTGTCAACGTCCACCACTCCTGCAACAGTAAGACCAAACTTGAATCGATCCAAGTCTACCGATGGTTTGACCAAAGGTGGCCGACATGCTACAGCATTAAAGAGAAACAATCGATCATTCACAAAGATTACTGGTTTGCAGCCCTTGACAAAGACTGTTTCCAATCAGTCTGTGAAATCCAACAAATCAAGTTCATCGCTCAAAGGGTTAGGCGTGGTATCATCTACTGCTACTGGAGGGATCAAGCCCAGTGCACGTAGGGGAAAAGCAACCATAAACTTGGAAGATGACGATAAAGAGTACGAGGATGTTGATGAACCACCAGATGAAAAGGATGTGGCTGCACCTCAGCCCGAAAGATTTGACAGTCAAGAAACAGTCTCAACAACACACCTGACATCAGACCAGAACATTCCTAGTCTATACGAACAAATTAATCGAATACTTCCGGACCCTACACCGCAAGATAGTGCTGATTACGACAATCGCCCAAAACTTGATGTTGTGGAAGAGGGCAAACCTGTTAATGATAAAACAACAAACAAAGGTGAACCACGGAGACCTGACCTAGTATCGTCGGTACAAAGTTCAGCTGAGGATGTTACTCAAAATAATAACCTTTATGGGAGCTCGCTACTTCTTTCGCAGTCCACTGGGGTAGTCAGGAAAATCGATCCAATCAATGCAAAGGTGACCGAGATTTATCCTAATAGACAAGGTCAAAATGACACACAACAACCAGAGTCTGTTAGTGGTATTTCATTTAAAGCAAACCCAATGGAAGCAGTTAACAACAATAACAACATTGCAAAACCTGTAACTACAAATCAAAACGTGAGCCAGAAAAATTCGTACCAGCCAGATCAAACAATATTCACCAACTTGCAAAGAACAAATAATCAGTACATGCAGGGCAAGCAAACGAGTGAGCGTTTGCCCAATACGCGACCTATTCAAACCAGTAAAAACACAAATCCACTAAACAACGGTGCGAACAACTATGGGGAATTTCTTCGAAGCACGTCATCTTCGTCTGATCTGCAACATGGCCCATCAAAAAACATCGAAACAAGAACACAGCAAAAACTTTGGCTACAAAGAGAGAGCTCGCTTTTAGATGTCACCAATATGGACCCCGCCAGAAGATCGAACTTTTCTAATCTATCACTAAACAATTTAATGTTTTCGCATAATTACAATCAGAGTCATTCGAGTGGACAATGGCCAAGTAACCCAAACTCGTACCAGAGTCAGCATGGCGTATCCTCAACCATTGGCCCATTAACACCTGTTACTCCGGGGACCGTTCAAGGTGTACCTGGCTTCAGCAATGGAACAATCACCCCCGATAGAGGTATGTCTAATGTTAATGTAAATGGCCTACTTCATGTGGTCCAGAACGCGCATCAAAATTCTATTCAGTCAAGAACTGAGTTTGAGAGGCTCAACCGGGAATATCTAAATGTGAGGAGACACCTCAACCCTGTTGGCGAGGGTTTGAACAGACTTAAGAGTGTTACCGAGGGTCACAATGAAATTAAAGTTGCCAAGTCGAAAAAGCGTCCTGAGAGTAGTAATGCTAACGCAAATACTTTTGAGGAATTTGCCCCCTCATTCCACGCAAGACAAGCAGAAACCATGGGAACTGTGAATAAGATTTGGCAGGACGCCATTTTGTGGACGCTATCTTCCTCAAGAGTAGGGCCATACTCACAAGAGAATGCGACAAATCCACAACACCCACCAAATAACAGAGTGTCTTCTTTTGTTCAAAATTCACCCTACGCTAAACATGGTCAGCACCAGTCTGCTCGAGCTGTTAAGCTTGCTCAAAACCAGTCACATGTTGATTGAACGAAATCTTGTTTATTTTTAGTGTATATACATGAATAAAAAGTATTATCCTTTTACCAACTGCCCTTCCTACTCCATTTCATCTATCCTTGTCTTTGCTTATGTTTCCCATTAGACTTACAGTAAACATATACTCTTCCTTTCCTCTTTACTAGATAGCAGTCCTTGCAAAACTTCTTAACAGAGGTTCTCACTTTAAAAGTTCTCAATGGTTGGTACAATGCGCTTATGGTGATGGGCGTTATTAGTTTTGGAGTTGCATTGAATAATGGTCTGATAGGGGATGGGGTAAACAGCTGTCTTATTATACTAGTGAGTGGTAACATTCTATATACCTCTTTGAAAGTGATATCGCTCACCACAGGTCTTTTAGTGAAAATTTGTCTCTTTGGTTATAACTTTACTGCGCAAAGTTATTGGTTCATATTACACGACTTTTCAGCAAAGAAAAGGAAAAATTTAATTTGTCTCTTGTTGTTGTTGTTGTTGTAACCAAACACGTATACTACCCAATTTTCAATAATCAAAGTTTTTTTTTTTTTGATTTTGATCGACAAGACCCAGACTATCAACGAGACCAATCAAAACACCCAATAAATCTCGCTAGACATCCCTTTTTATTGCACATTTTGACTGACTAGAATAGACCATCAGCAATGTCTACTCTGTCGTACAAAAAGCAAGATGCTTACTCCACGTCATCCAATGTCCCGGATAAAATGGCGGTATTTCAAGAATGTCTTCAACAATTCAACGCTACTCCGGTGAATGCAAAAAAGTGTAGACAATTATTGGCAAGATTGCTTAGATTGATCTACAATGGAGAGGAATTACCGGCCCAAGAGTCAACAACATTGTTCTTTTCCATTTCAAAGTTGTTCCAACACAAGGACCAATCTTTGAGACAATTGGTATACTTGACTATAAAGGAATTGTCGTCCACATCAGATGATATCTTGATGGTCACTTCTTCGATCATGAAGGATATTCAAGGAGGCGATGCTGTCTACAAACCCAATGCAATTCGTACATTATCTAAGGTGTTGGATCCTACTACAGTGACTGCAGCAGAAAGATTATACAAAAACGCTATTGTTGACAAGAATCCAATTATCTCTTCAGCAGCATTGATCTCATCATATAATTTGTTACCTCATGCCAAGGAAGTGGTTAAAAGATTTGGAAACGAGGCAATGGAAACCATTCAATCCTACAAATCATTCCCTCCTAATCAGTTCCAATTGCATGAATACTACGGTAGTGCTACTTCAAACTTGCCATCCACTTCCTTCATGTACCAGTACCATGCGTTGGGATTGATTTATCAATTAAGGAACCACGACAAAATAGCATTGATGAAGTTGGTCACCACTTTGTCAGAAGGGTCATCATTGAAGAATTCATTGTCTGTTATTCAGTTGATCAGATACATTAACAAAATTCTAGATGATGATGAGGCATTATTCTCGCAATTATATCCAGTCTTGGTGGGATTTTTGAAGCACAAGTCCGACATGGTCGAGATAGAAGCTTGCAAGGCTTTGATAAATTTGCAGCATTTGTTGAAGGACGACCAGTATATGCAAATTGTATCCACTTTGCAAAAGTTGTTGGGCGTTCCAAGGACAGCAACCAGATTTTCTGCAATCAGATTAATCAATAAGATCTCAATCAAACACCCAGAAAAAGTGTTGGTGGTAAACTTGGAATTGGAAAGTTTGATTAATGATTCAAACAGATCTGTGTCAACATTGGCCATTACAACATTGTTGAAGACTATGGGTGCTGGTACTACTGAAAGTTCAACAGGAGGAGAAAGTGTCGACAGGTTGATTACTAAAATGACCTCCCTCATGGATGAAATCACCGAAGACTTTAAAATTGTCATTATTGAGGCTATTGAGAACTTGGCATTAAAGTTTCCATCAAAGCACAAAAAGTTAGTTTCATTCTTGACAGACTTGTTGAGGGACGATGGTTCTCTCGCATTAAAGACTTCCATTGTTGACGCTTTGTTTGACTTGATCAAGTTTTTGCCCAATGAGAGTGCCAAGCAATTGATTTTGATGAATCTTTGTGAATTTATCGAAGATTGTGAATTTACTGAATTATCAGTTCGTATCTTGCACTTGTTGGGTGATGAAGGTCCAACCACCTCAAACCCTTCGTACTATATTAGACACATTTACAACAGGTTAGTACTTGAAAATTCTATAGTCAGAGCCTCGGCGGTTATTGCTTTAGCCAAGTTTGCTGCCGTTTGTGAAGGTGATGTTTCAAGAAACATTGTGATTTTGTTGACCAGGTGTTTAAACGATGTCGATGATGAGGTTAGAGATCGAGCTGCCATTTCATTGAATTTTATCAATCACAAGAAAAAGAATTTGATTGTTAGTGATTCGAGGTATGATTTGTCAGCCTTGGAACACAAGCTTGTCAACTACTTGAGTGACAATGAAAACTTTAGTGAAAAGTTTGACATTTCTGAAGTGCCATTTATTACCGCGGAAGAATTGAAATCTATTGAATATAATAGGAAATTGAACAAATTGGAGCGCTCCTCCGATGATAGTACTGAAGCCAATGAAGGTGCTAAAAAGAAGGACAAGTCAGAAGAGAGGTCCGATAATAGTGCTAACGACCTATTGAAACAACAAGAATATGCGCAGGACCTCTCAGCAATCTCTGGGTTCGAACTGTATGGAAAATTGACAAAATCGTCCTTAACCCCATTGTACCTCACAGATAAGGAGAATGAAATTGTTGTCAGTGTTGTTAAGCATTTGTTTGTTGAGTCTCAGAAATTGGTTTTACAATACAATATCAATAACACTTTACCACATACTGTCTTGCAGGATATTTCGGTTATCGCACAGCCGGATAATGAGCTTTACCAAGAAGAGTCTATTGTTACATTGCCGGAGTTGAAGCCAAACGAAACTGGTGTAGTCTATGTCTCCTTTAGCACACCATCAGTGGATGATGAGGAACTTTTGTCGGCCTTTGGTAATACTGTGGCATACACAAACAGGGATGTTGATGAAGACGGCCAGGTTGATCCCACGGATGATGGCTGGTCTGACGAGTACCAGATTGATGACTTGGTTTTGTTTGCAGGCGATTTTATAAATCCACTTTACAATTCAAATTTTTCCGCTGTATTTGATCAATTACCAGCTTCCGAAGAAGGTAACTCCACCGGTTATATCGTCAATGTTGACAGTTTGGAAAATGCCGTGAATAAATTAAGAAGCAGCTTGAATATGACGCCGTTGGATGGCTCTGACTACGTGCCAAGTGATTCTAACTCGCACAGTTTGAAATTATTGGGCAAGGATGTTTGGGGTGGCAAGGTTGGTGTTTCGATTAGGTTGGCCAAGACAGGTGGTAAAATCGTTGGTCGTAGTGAAGTGAGAACTGAAACTGACAATTTTGCAAATGTTGTTACTAGTAGCATATACGACTCGTTATAGAGTAAAAAAGCAAAATGAAGAAAAAGGCAATAGTATATTGAAATACCTTCCATGTGTAAGTAATCTAATCTAAATACTCTATTTATGCTTTATCTACACCTCTATTGTCTCTCTTACTAGCCCTCATATGCTTATATAGTAACCCACCGCTGAAATAAACCGCCAAAGCTGCCAAGAATATAAACAAAAAGATCCAAAAAGCAGCCATGTTGTTTGCCTTTGCTGCTGTAGGACAGGCATGATGACTCCGAACCTCAAAGAAAAAAGTGCAATCATTCGAGCTTCCTATGTATGACACTGATGCCTTGGCCGACATTTCCCGATCACAAGTAAAAGTCAAAATCGTCGACTTTCTCAACCGAGGTCCCGAAGGTGAAGTATAAGCGTTGCAAAAAGACCCATTCTCATACGTCAATGTCAATTTACGGCCTCTAAAGATAGGTTGGGTTGAATATTCTCCCATGGACACATACTTGTTTGTTGCAGGATCGACGTAGTATGCTCCAATCATGGACGAGTTGACACTGTCTTGGATCTCGCTAAGTTCGTTATGAGATTGTTTGAAGGGATTGGAACATATACCAATGGTGAAATTCTTGCCTGAGTCGTAACCACGCGATTTCCAAGGTAGAGCCCTGTTTTCATTACTCATGGCTGAAAGTCCTCTCAAGTCAATAAAACCTTGGTTTAGTGGGTTCTTTATGGTACATGGATCTGGTATCTCCTCGTTTAGTTCTTCATTTTCAGTAGCATGTTTATTGGAACTGGGTTCACTTTGTGCTTGATGAGATGGGGGGCTTTGCTGATTCGGGCTCATGTTTCCTCCATTAGGCGATGTGAATGTGAAGTGACTTATAGAATCGAAAATTCCACTTGATGTATCATACAAGGAGGCATTCGATTTCGATTTCTCTAGTATAGTTATACAAACGATGAATAGTAGGGTTATTACTGGGATTATAGCCCGTCTAACTAGCTTCGACATATGTTGTGCAGATAAGGGTTAAGTGTGAATAGGGAAATAAGAAAGTTGAAAAGCGAATGAATACGTGGTATGTAGTGAAATTTGAATCTAAAGAAGGGAGTATCCTTTAATGTAGTATTGTAATAAAGGGGGGAGTTGATAGATAGTGAAAAGGATTTTTGTTATTGTTAAAAAATTGGGCCGAGAAAAAGAAAAAAAGTAAAAAGAAAAAAAAAAGAAATGAAAGAACTGAAGCCGAAGCTGAACTGATCTAAAGGAAAACAAAGTTTGGTAGCTTTTCCACGCTGGCACTACTAATCAAATACAAAGCAACCAACATACAATTACATACAGATGGATTCTTGGGTTGATACAGCAAACCCACTATCAAGCACATTTGGTGGCTTGGGTAATGGTATCAGCAATGTCCTCAACTTTTCTGACCCACTACTAAGTCAAATCATTAATTCAAAGAAAGCATTGCAATTGCTAGACTCCGAATTCACATCATCGATAATAGCAGCAGCTGATGGCGAAAACGCATCCGAAGAGAACAAAGACAAATCTATAATTGAGCTTCTTCTAAGCTCAAGTGATGGAGATGTTGTATCTTTGGAGCGTATATCCAGAGCATATCCAGAATTGGTTAACAAATTGTACCCTAATGAAAGTGGCGGAGTTTCTGCCTTGATCTATGCCATTTGTTTCAACAACGATGATATCGTGGCTTCATTATTGGAGAACCATAGTGCAGACCCGGATTTGCATGATACTATTGTCTATTACACGCCGATTATGTGGGCAGTATATTTGAACCAAATCGATATGGTAAAACTATTGGTCAATTCGCAAGCTGACCCTTACTTGAGTCCCAGAAATGATGGCAAAAACGCTATCACTTTGCTTAATCCAGAGTCTCACGAGATTGTAGAGTATTTCAAATCGCATAACTTGTTAAAGCACAAGGGCACTGAAAATGAACAGGATGTGTTCACAGCAAATACATTCACGCCTATAGATGAATTTGAAGATGACCTTCTGACAAAGTTGAAATTGCAAACATTGTCAGCCACGATTGACGAGGAAAATGAAGAAGAACCCGTTCATGAAGAAGACGACGAGATTGCACTCGCCCAAGATCCTGTTATACCCAGACTTCCAGACTTTGTATATGACAAGTTAGTTCCAGAGCAGTATATCAAATTTACAGACAGTGACATTCCTTCCTTGATTAATTATATATTCAGGTTGAGGTCAGATTTAACCTACCAACACAACACCGGGATCCCAGCGGCTATTTTGTTTCAATTGGTTCGCTTTTCTCATATGAAAGTGGATTCAAATGAGTTGACGGAATTCTTGTTTGACTGTTTCACTGCAAGACTAAGGTCCATCACTAATACCAAGTCTGGAGCATTCAATATGGCATTGCAAGAGGATACCAGTGCTATGGGTGCTGGAGATATAGTGCTACTTAGTTATTGGCTTTCCGCGTTGCAATTTTTGCATTTTTACTTTAGCAAGGGCAAGATTTACTCCAAGTTTCCTCGGTTCTTACAGGAGATTATAAATCTTGTTCAATCAATTATTGCAACATTGTCATTTTCCATCAATTCTCGTTTGAACTTGTTGGTGAATGATTGTATTTTGAATTTCACCAGTTTAATTGATGTTTCCAACACATTATATGCCAAAGATTGGAACCTTTTCAAGAAGAACAAAACCCATCCTAATAACTACGATGACATTTTGAACACATTGTATCCTCCAACTCAGAATGAGTTGATGAAACCATCACCATTAAGATACATCCAAGTACTTGGTGCTTTAGACTATGTGTTGAAAATACACCATGTCGACAAGCTATTTCGAGTGCAAACATTTTCACAGGTGTTTTATTACATTGACTGTATCATCTTTAATAGTATCATCAGTCAAAGCAGGTACTGCAGTAGAGCCAAGGCTGTTCAGATCAGGCTCAACATCTCTGCCATTGAGGATTGGCTTCGGTCTCGTGACTTGAGGGTATATAAGCATGATGACATTGGTGGTTTGAACAAGTTGGTTGGAGATTCCAACGTCCAGTTGCATAACTTGTTGAGTGAAGACAAGTCATTACTGAAGAAGGATCCTAGAAATTTGGATTTCTATTACGATTCCATCTATCATATATGCAAACACCAGTTACAGCCAACAATAGAATTATTGCAATGGCTTCAATGCATGACTTCCTTGAATGATGAAGAAAGTCTAATCAATACAATCAATCAATTTGACTATTTGAATTACTATCAGTTATATAAAGTTGCTCACAAGTTGTACAAGTATGCTGTTGATGAAACAAAATTGCCGAAGAAGTCTGTCAATTTCATCAAAGCCTTGATGAACGAACAGGGTGAGAATCAGGTGAATAAAAGCTTTCAGCATTACATGACACAATCAACATTTTTATCCAAAGAAGTTTATGTTTACTTGAATCCAAATTATATTTTTGAGATTGCATTACCAAATCTAACGGAATTAATCAACACGTATGGATCAGGTACCGGTGGAGTTAGAATATTGAGGGCTAAAAAGTACCAACCTACTTTACCTATTAGTGTTGTTGATGATATTGATGAAATATTGACTGAAAACAGAAACTTGGAAATGAATGATACGTATGACTATGAAAAGGATGATGATGCCGATGAAAATGGTGAAACTGATGATGACGAGCAAACTAAAAAGAAGGATAATGGTCTGAGTAAACCTGACGCTGAACGACAAACTAGTTTTAAAGGAGATGAGTTGTTTAAAAGTGTACAAATGCCAAATTCGCTTTTACATAGAAATTGGGGTGATTCAGGAGTGGATGATTTTGAAACTAACCCGTGGTAAGTAGGAGAGGGCATGTGGTAATGTTATATATATATATATATATATACATGTACATATACTTGTATATGCTTCAGCTTAATATTTGATGATATCGTCATATTAAAATCAACCGGGCGTAAGTAATGCGATGGACTTATATAAATAAAGCGGTTCGATACAGTTAATCGATTCCATTTTGAGCCTAATCCCCCCACACTCACTCTTTCATTTGTTTCAAAACAGTATGGTACACCCAATAAATCAAAACCTACCCCTAATTTGGAAACTATTGGAGTTACAAAACCATCAAAAAGTCGTGTCAATTATAAATTTGTATGGAACAATAAGAACAGGCCCTGGTGTTTTTTTCTTGTCGTTTGATTGTGTTTGTAGACGACTATCCCTTTCCCGCTACTGTTATTGTTCCAGTCTACGGAAGTGTGATATGTATGGCAGGTATACACACGTATTTCGAGAAATGGTTCTAGCGAATAACGATTCAAAAAGCTGGGCCAAGGAAGAAGCGCAATATGTTGTAACAGATTCGTATGCAGAACTTGTGTCGTCATAGATCTTCAGGTACAATTTCGTGGCATGTATGATGACATATAAGCCTCAAATGGGAAACCTCTCAAGTGTTGCATCATTCAGTTTTGCCATGAAAAATTCTTTTGTTTTTGTTTACCAAATCACAAAATCAGTACAACTATCCAAATTGTACCAGAGAAGAGAAGAGACGACAGAGTTGAGAATGGTAAACAAAAGTAGGCGCAAAACAATATGCCATATTGTCTTAATGTAGAAATCATCAAAACAAGTTTCAGCTTGTAAACATGTTCCAGTATGCAGAGTACAGCCCCCCCCCCCCATTTCAGGTGAAACTATTCCACAACATAATCCAGATAGTATAAAGAATTGGCAGTATACCCTTTGATCAAAAAGACCATCACCACTTGATTTTACAAACTGTTCATACAGACTAGCTACTAGATACCCTTACATTCGCTTTGAACTTATTGAATATGCATCAGTTTTTATCACTCCTTATACTATCATCGACGGCATTGGCTTTAGTCGGTGATGGGTTCTTATCATTATCAGTCAACAAAATACAAAACACCAATGGGTTGAAGAATTTTCCAAATAGATTACCAATTTTCGACAAAGTAGAAGATGAGTTGGAGAATATAACATGTACAATCCTTGGAAAACAAGCTCTGAAAGGTATTGCTCCTCTTTTTGGAAATTCGGGGTTTAATTTCAAAAAGAGCAAGCACCAAAATCTTGCCAGCAAGCTTGGATTAAGCAAGAGTTCTAAAACAAATTCGACAAGCCTCTACAGTGGCGATGATGATGATACTGGTAACGAGGAAAATGAGACTGGAGCTTTTTCAGTTGATTTAAACAATGCACAAACAATGTACCTTACTACTATTTCCATTGGATCTCCCGCCCAAGAAGTTGAAGTTATGATTGACACGGGATCTTCTGATCTTTGGGTTATTGGTGCACAAAACCCTAGCTGTATTGAGAATGGAGGATCATTGAATTGCTCAGAATATGGAACTTTCAATACATTGAAATCATCAAGCTGGCATAAGAATGATAGTATTGAATTTGAAATCTCGTATCTTGATGGATCTTCGGCTAAAGGTGACTTTGGTCAAGATACGATTGAGTTTGTTAAAGGCTTTGGTTTGGATCAAGCAAATTTTGCCGTTGTTGAAAATACCACTACTGAAATTGGTGTATTTGGTGTTGGATATCCTGGATTGGAAAGTGCCTCGACCAAGTATAGCAATATCCCTCATGCTTTGAAAGAACAAAATGTGATTGCTAAAGCGGCTTATTCATTGTACTTGGATTCTTCTAGCTCCAATGAAGGTAGTATATTATTTGGTGGAATTGACCATGCTAAATACACTGGTGACTTGACTTCCATTGACATCGTTCCCAAAGACGGAGAATACCTTTATTCGCAGATCCCCTTGTCCCATATTGCTGCTTCTATAAATAATTATACTAATGTTAGTCCCGGATCCGATTTCAATGGAACCAATCCAGGAAAAGTAGGAGCAACCATATACAATGGAACTGATTCGTTTAACGGGGGTATTGATTTGCAAAATACCCTGGTCTTGCTTGATTCAGGTACTACTTACTCGTTCTTGCCTCAAAAACAAATTGAAAGTATAATTGGAGTATTTGGTAATGTATCCTTTGATGGCAATCTTGGTGGCTACAAGATTCCATGTTGGTTAGGAAATAAAGGTAATTATTTCCGCTTCAACTTCAATGAAGAAAAAGATATCGACGCTGAATTGTCAGAGTTTGTTTTGGAAGTTGGAAAGGATTCATCAGGTGCAGCACTGTGTATATTCACCATTTTGCCTGGGGATGCAATTTTGGGGGATAATTTCTTGAGGTCAGCCTATGCCGTGTTTAACTTGGATGACAACACCATTTCACTTGCTCAAGCTGCTTATAATAATGATCACCAAGTGGTTGCAATAGAGTAAATGATGAGATAGAGGTGTGGAAAAAAGCGTGTAATGTGTATTATTGATGCAAAAAAATATTTTTTTTATATACATGTTAGAACTGAATATATATATATATATATATATATATATATAGGTATAGATACACATATAAAGATATACCCATTCCTCCTTTTCTCATTCAAATCTTATATCTTTGACAAAAAGTTGTTATTCCTTATAATATTGTTGTTTTCCTTTTGCAATTTAATTCTTCTCCATCTAAGGAAGTTTTCATTTTTGATATTTTCCAAATTGACCTTGGGGTCAATCATGGTCCAAAGCCATTCTGGATACTCTGAATCCTCTTTTGCTACTGGTTCATCACCTTTTTTGAAAATTTTCAAGTTTAATGGTGTTCCTGCTTTACATGAAGACACCACTGGGGCTGTTTTCACCTCTGATGCATTTTGCCAAACCTTTGAGGTATTGAGTGATCTTTTTAGTATGTTAGAGGATCGTATGTGTCTTATGTGTGTGGTAAACATTGTAATTATAACAGGGTGTAATGGATAAGGCTGTAGTTATTATGGTATATATGCCTTTGCTTAAAGATGAAAATTTTTGAATTGTATTTTTGTTCGTGTGAAGTTGATCAAAAAATGATCTCATAGAACACACACACCAAACACATCATACACACTACACTACACATTACACTACACATTACACTACACAATGAAAACGGAGTGTGACGAACAAAAAAAAATTTCAATGTCTTTTTTTTTTCCAAAGTTCTTTCTACGAGTCTTAATATAGTATCAAAGTGTGTTATCAATATGCCACCAAAGAAGAAAGGAGTGCAAGAGAAGCCAGTTTTATTAGGAAGACCAGGTAATAACTTAAAGTCTGGTATTGTTGGTTTAGCCAATGTTGGTAAATCAACCTTTTTCCAAGCAATTACCAAATGTCCCTTGGGAAACCCAGCAAACTACCCCTTTGCCACCATTGAACCAGAAGAAGCAAGAGTCATTGTTCCAAGTGAAAGATTCGACAAATTGTGTGAGTTGTATAAACCTAAAAGCGAAGTTCCAGCATTTTTAACCGTGTACGATATTGCTGGGTTGACCAAAGGTGCTGCTGCTGGTGAAGGATTGGGTAACAATTTCTTGTCCAACATCAGAGCTGTTGATGCTATTTTCCAAATGACAAGAGCTTTTGATGATGCAGATATTATCCATATCAATGATGAAGTTAATCCAGTTGCTGATTTAGACATTGTTAAGGATGAATTAAGATTGAAGGATATTGAATTTGCAACCAAATATTTGGAAGGTATTGAAAAAATCACCAAAAGAGGAGGCCAGTCTTTGGAAGTGAAACAAAAGAAGGAAGAGGCTGAATTGGTCAAGAGAATTATCCAATTATTGGAGGATGGACAAAGAGTTTACAACCAAACTTGGACAGCAAAGGAAGTTGACTCCATAAATCAAATGTTGTTATTAACAGCCAAGCCAGTTATATATTTGATCAACTTGTCTGAAAAGGATTACATTAGAAAGAAGAACAAGCACCTTTTGAAAATCAAGGAATGGGTTGATAAAAACTCACCTGGTGATTTGATTGTGCCAGTATCGGTGTCATTGGAAGAGAAATTAGCAGGTATGGGATCAGATGAAGAAAGAGAAGCTTACTGCAAAGAAATTGGTGCTCAATCAGCCTTGCCAAAAATCATTGTTGCCATGAGACAAAAATTGGATTTGATTTCATTCTTCACTGGAGGTCCTGATGAAGTTAGGGAGTGGACTATTAGAAAATGGTACACTGCTCCACAAGCTGCTGGTACTATCCACACTGATTTGGAAAGAACATTCATCTTGGCTCAAGTGATCAAGTATAATGATATGATTGAGTATGGTGATGAAGCCAGTGTTAAAGCAGCAGGTAAGTTGTTGCAAAAGGGTAAAGATTATTTCGTTGAGGATGGTGATATTATATATGTTAAAGCAGCTGAGGGTAAAGCTCGTTAAAAGCAGAGTCTTTATCTTGTAAATAATAGTATATTACTTTCTCGAGTGTCTTGTGTTGGTCTTGTGTTGGTCTCTGGGATTTCTTTTGGATAGAGTGTGTTTTGTTGGAAAAAGAAACCATTAGAAACTAGTGATTTCTAATACAAAGTAGATCTCAAAAGCAGAAGTGGATACTAAGCTCTCGTGTATATCCATCAATGCTAAAGTCTTGAGAAAATGCGCCTTGTTGCTAAATATAAAATATATTTTTCTCTTCTCGTTGTGGTGGTGATGGTGGATTTTGTGTCATAAGCTAACCGGACAGAGAGACAGACGTAAAATTAAAAAAAAAAAAAAAAAAGTGCGCACGAGGGCCAAACGAAAAACGAAAAACGGCGGCGAACATCATAAAAGAACACACTAACAACAGATAGCAGCCAGTACCAGTAAGTATGGGCAAGAAAAAATTGTCGTTGTAAAATGTGTCAAAATCTTCTCATGCAAGGCACAACTAAACACATATAAGATATGTACCCCTCTCTGCTGCAAAAAAGTTTTGTAGAATCAAAGTGAGCAGTAGTTATGTTCTGCCCAAGGCTTAGGTGATAATACCCTTTAAAAATAACTTCTATCCGAAGTATGCGTATATGGGTGTATGGGTGATGATGGTTGGTTTGTTCCTAAGAAAGGTGGCTTAACCCTAAATCTAAATTTAAATTTTTCTATTTTTTATTTTTATTTTGCCGTTTTTGCATTTTTGTTTTTAATACCCGTGCAAAATCAACATTTGAAAATATACAAATGAATATCCAATTTCACAAGGGTTTTCTTTGATATCCTTGATATTGCAAATATTACTAAAGTTGCTTCCGTCTAGAAAGCAGTACATGAACTCATCTTCAACCAGAACACTGCCCCAGATCAAATACAGCAACTTTAATTAAAACAAAGCAAGTGAACAAACCCAGCCCCCAGCCCCCAGCCCCCCCCCCCCCCCCTAGCACCAGATCAGAAACAGGCAAAAAGAAAAAGTATGAGGTTATCCTTAAGGAGAATTATATTTTTGGTGTTTCTACTCCTATCGCTACTGATAAGTATCCTACTATTGCAGTCTTCAACAAAACTCAAACAGCGATGGGACTTGATTTGGGATACAGAGACATTTGACCGTGATTCGTTCAAGGCACATAATCTTCAAACAAGAAAGGATTTCCACTATACAAACTATTTATACCTGGGCTACGATAACTTTACCCAGCATTATGCAAACGATTTGGATCGGATCCAGAAGGCACCACTCAATGACAAGTGTAACGTGTATTTCAACCAATTCTTACGAGATAATCCTGATTGGAAACTAACTACTTACAACTCGGCTGTAGACAGATTTGACAAGTCTTCTGATAGAAAAGAGTTCTTTTTCAAAGAACTGTTAAAGAAACTAGAGGATCAATTCAACAAGGCACATAAAAACACAGAGGAAAAGTTTGTCCCAACTAGAGAGGATAATAAAACCATACTGACAAATTTCAATTCCAAAGTTGCAAGATCCAAAGCCATCATGCATGAGATGGCTGATGTGACTACTCTGTTGAGAGTTTATGGCAAGTGTTTTATTGGCCAACAGTTGGATGAAAGTCAAAAAAAGACATTCAATGACTTGAGCTCCAGATTCTTTCCCTTTTTAACTCAGAAGCTACCGCAATTCAAAATTCCAAATGAGGACGCTTCAACTGGGTGGCCAATTTCCAAGGAAGATGGAACCATCGAATACAAAACAGACTTAGATGGGGACAATTATGTCGATTTTGTATACAAGCATTCAAAAGGTAAAGGTATTGTGATATCCACTGCTACTAGACATGCAAAAGATATTATGAAGTTGATCCAGGTCCTACGTGCAATGAATAACGAATTGCCGATACAAATTATGCATAAAGGAGATTTAACTAAACGTTCTCTTGCTTGGATAGAAACTGCTGCAACGGTGGATGTAAATGAATTGTTGGACCCTTCAGGAGACACAAACAGTCAACTGTACATGCCTGATTTAAAACTACTCGAAAGTTACAAAGAGTTTGGATCCCATTTCCCCAAACAAAACCTCCAGTTTGTCAATATTGCTCCTTGTATTCCTAAACAATACAAGTTTCATTTCCCCGGGTATACAAATAAGATATTGGCGGTATTTTTTTCAAGTTTTGATGATGTCTTGTTACTTGATGCTGACACGGTCCCGTTAGTGCCTCCAAAGGAGTTTTTTGAATCGGAAGAGTATAAAAAGTCAGGAACATACTATTTCCAAGATCGATCATTAAGAGATACCAATGACTTTATCGAAACCAATTTCTTTGCCAGTTTGTCGCCTACTAATGAAAAATCAATTGACACACTATTTGATATACCTCGCATAACTGAAAAGACATTCAACAATAAATACATGACAGGGTGGAGACACTACCAAGAAGCAGGAGTGGTTGCTTTCAATAAGCGCCAACATTATCTTGGCTTACTCATGATGTTACCCTTGCTGATGTGGACTGAGCCGATCCAATCATCGATATGGGGTGATAAGGAGTTGTATTGGTTGGCATTGTCGATAGCTGGAGATGAAAACTACGAATTCAATCCTGTTGCAGCAGCTTCAATTGGAGAAAAGACGCTGCGTCAGGATCGTAAATACTATCCCAATTCTCCTAGTAATGAAGTTTGTTCAACGCATCCTGGGCATGTAAACAAGGATGGAAAATTGCTTTGGATCAATTCGGGTTTTGGATATTGCAAGAAGAATGGATATTTTAGAGACCGAGTCAAGTTTCCATTTTCAACTTTTGAAAAAGATGAATTGAGCCTATTGTATCATTCGCCATTGCAAATACGTGCAGCAATGGTACCGCCTAATCTTCCACGGTATAGGGAACCAGGAAACCCAATAGATGGAGAACCAGAAGAGAAATTTAAGAAATCGTGGAAGTTTAGAAATAAGGATATCGATGAAATTAACGAAAATCTACCACCGGGTGCTCAGCGGTCGGAGTTTATAACTGAATGGGGACCACAAAAGGGGTGGGTCAAGAACTCGATATGTTTCGGATACTATTATTGTGCATATGATAAGGTGCAAAGTTATTCACTGGATAAAGAATTTGACGAGGGTACGCTTTATGAATTTGATGAAGAGAGTGTTAAAAGGTACAATTATTTGAGTAAAGTTTGGAATGCTGCAGGGGTGAAGAAACCGGTAATTTCCAAGCCAAAGTGATGAAAATTGACAGTAATGTTAAATGGACCATTTCTCTCAAAAGGTTAGACGAACTATAGAATTTCAAATATGATAGTTAAAACTTGTTAATAAATTATTACAACTCTTACAAAAGGTATCTATTTTCTAACGGAAACGACAACGGTGTGTGTGCCCATTGGTTTGATCAACCGTTGTGTGTCCTTGTCGAAACTGTCTTCATTAGTATCTTTTGCAATAATCTCTTCAATATGGCCCTTGATCTCATCTTTCTTCTCCTGGGGCAAATCGGTAATGTAGCTTCTTGTTTCCCAGTATTTCCAAACATCGTCTTTATCAATCAATTTATCATACAATGCAAACAGATCCAAAACCTCATTTTTGAAATATGGATTAGCTAGCAAAATCGATCTCCATTTACCATGTCTATATTGAGGTACCTTGACATCGAAATCATAGACGTATTTAGTAACCTTGTCGTTCCATTTTTGATTGCCAAAAAATTGACTCAACAATTCTTGATTGTTTTTAGATGAAGTCAAATCTAAATCATTGTAATACCTCGTGCCTGAGTTATAGTAATTACTATCGGAAACGACTGAATCCTGTGATGGTGAAGTATAATCAAAGTTCCAAATCAAACCCAATTTTCCCAGTGGTTTCAAAATACGATGAATTTCCTTCAAGCTCTCTTCATCAGCAAACCAATGAAATCCTTGAGCTACAATAACAGCGTCGATGGAATCGTCATCAAATGGGGTATTATAACTCGACGCTTGAACCACACTGTCAACTTGTGGGAAGTTCTCTCTAAATGTCTCCAACATCCCACGTGATGGATCAACGGCGGATAAATTGCTTGACCAGCCATTATCAACTAAATTCTTGGTGAATTTGCCCGTACCGCACGCAATCTCAACGATTCTTTTGTCATTGTCAAACGTGAATGTATTGTCTTGTTTGTTAAAGGTGGCAAGGTTAAGATCAACCAAGAAGGGGTTAACGAGAATAGGAGAGAATGAAGGACGATAGATGTCGTATGACGAATGATTTAAATTGAATGAATTGACGGCCGTGTCGTGTGCTGACTTGGTGGTGGTTGACATTGTTGTGAGTAATTGCTGGTTCCAGTGGAGTTTTGAGGTTGCCAAACGAGTTAGTGGCCAGAGTTTGGTCAACATTTTATACTTTTTGTTGAAAGTGGGGAAGAATTGCGTGGCTTAACGGACTTATAATACTTTGTACCCTTTTCGGTTCCGAGCACCGGAACTTTTCTAAATAAGTGCTCAAAGGCAGAGAAAACAGGTGATTATCCCCTCATTTTGGTTTTGACTCTATGCCCTCTCTGCGTTATGCAGAGTGGGAAATATTATCTTACACGTTGCATGTTTGTATGCTATCATAAATCGTTATTATATTAATAAATACTATACTTTATACAAAGTTTCTAACGAATCTTTGCAAATACAACAAGACTAATATAGCAATGATAGCAATCACTGCATAATATCCTTTAGTTATGGCCATATAAGTCCAAGTACCATGTATCTTCTCCATATTATAAGCTTCCAATTCCGATAAACATTGAGCATTCTGTTCAAAAATATATTTCGATTCTTCAATCACTTCCAATTTTTGTTCTTCAGTCAATCCATTCCTCGTCACCAACTCATAATCTCTCTTGTAGATGATTCTAAGCAAACCTTCATCAATAACATCGAAATTGAAAAAATTGAATCCCATCTTGATTATATCTTCGTGTTTTAAACCGTCTTTGTGAGGGTAAAATCCAGTGGCTTTAGCAAATGATGATCCCATTAATCTTCCACCGGCAAACAAAGCCAAGTACATGACATGAAGGTATGCAAACAACAAGTATGGTTTTTCTTTAGTGGCTTCAATAATGTGGTTGGAAAATTTAATTTGTTCTGCCATTCTTGGGTTAACAAATTTGTCCTTGTTGTCGTCATAAAAGAATAAAAGATCTTGTTCTGCTTTAGCAGTTCTGGCTAATTCTGGTTTCCAGACTTGTCTCAACATATCGGACCATTGTGAGTCCTGTTCCAATTGGTAACTTAATGCTTTTTCTATGCTGGCAAAAATGTGGTAAAATGCTTGTAATCCTTGACGATAAACTTTGTAGTTACGCAAAGCAATAGCCATTTTGAGTGAAACCATCTTGTTAACTTTGTCATGTAAAGACCTAGTTTCTAAATTGATTCTGTTTGCCAAAGCACCAACATCTCTTTTGGCGGGTATTATTTCATGTTGTGACAACTTGGTGGTTGCACCAGTGGCACTCAATTTGATTGCTTCTTTATTTGACATACTGAGGTCCCTTTGGCTGGATGGTAACGTTACTGTAGTGGCTGACATTATTTGTGTGTGTATGTAGTGTGAAGTGTGTGTTGTTATATGTGGATATTATGTGTTAATTTTCTCTCTAGTATAAATACAACTAAAACGTGCTAATGATAAGGTTGATAAATTTAAGAATGATGATAAGGAAGTATTCGAGAAGAAACTAGTGTTGAAGTGGATTTTGATGGTTATTTATATATCAACTTTCAGTAGGCAAAGAATTTTTATTCGGAGATATCGCTGAAAATTTTGACGTCTTCTTGTTGTCTGGTAACACAAACACCTTGTATACTGCATATAAACTATTACCGATAGATTCTTGAAACACGATATCCAAAAATACAAAAACAGTAACTATATGCCCAACAAAAGACAACACTTGCAACAACAGTTTTGTTTAGGACGTGCCATGAATCGACCGGATCGGTTCCTTCTTTGTTCTGTACCTATGCGGCTAGGGTGCCTAAATGGCTATTGTGGAAGAAGAGTTAAAGAAAAACCAGGGGGTTGGGAACCGCGGTAAAACACGAAGATCACATAGCCTCCAGTGTCCATCTTTCGTTGTACAACCAATACACGCAAATAGATGTAGTATGCTTTCTTCAGGCAACAACCTCGCCTGAGTGGTAGGTCGCGTTATACCACGCGTTTAGAAAAGACACTAAAAATAGAGTTCTTGACAGGCGATAAAGCCAGATAGTCTTTTATCTTCAATTTTCTTGTTCCCTTTAATGTGCGAATATGGTATACACACTACCTTTGTCTTCTTTTTTTCTGTCTAATCGGAATTTCAATACCGATATACATACAGTATTCAAGAGTCACCACAAAACATCGCGGTTGCTGAAAAATTGTCTCTATTGTTCGTATTCACTTTGACATATTTACTCCTGATAAATGTGTGTGCAGCAAAATGTGGGCTTTTTAAGCGCATACAATATGTATGGGGTGTAAAAATTTTAGTCTATTATATTTTCACTTTTTTATCTATTTCATCAGTGACAATTTTTTTGTACCTTAAATATTTCAAACTCAACAAACTATTCATCCATACTATACTTAAGGAAAAGAACAATGGACCTCATGTTGTTTTTTTCTCGATTTCTGACTTCTCTTTGTTCTTACTTCTCCATATTTCGGGAATCACGTATAGCAGTTTGTATGTTTTTTGTTTTTATTTGATTGACTCTCGAAAACTCAACAAATCAACGCTTTAGAAACTTTCAAAGCTCGGGACATGATCCCTCATTGTTTTTTGTGGACAATGTGGTGGTGTTTCTTATACCGTGGTTAAATCCTAAACACATATACTTTCCCGAGGTGTGCGTTGTTGAATAATTGATTGACCCCGTTGCAAACAAGAAAGAGTAATCTGGCTCTCACTGAATGTGTCTCAATTTTCAGTTCATTTGATGTCAGGTAACTCAGAATCACGTCTTGGCAATGTGGCTTCTTCCTATTGTACATCCAAAGACACGTCTACCTTTGTATCTATTGAAACATAATATAGCAGGTTTGAACGCGCGTCTAACTCAGCCAATTAAAAAAAATCAACATTAAAAGCTAACGATATGGCAAGCCTATTCATCTACCACTTGTTACTATACATCCTCTTTGTGTCCACCATTTTCACTAGATGGATAAACCGCGTCATCCCATAAAGAAAATATGCCAAATTCCAGAAATACAAAATGATCGCTTACGTGCAACAGGCGGTCAATACAGGACAAAGACTTTTCTACTAGTATTACGCATCATACCGTTTGACAAAAATAGATGCATTATTGAAGCTACTGATTTCACTTCCAATCATCAAATAAGTGAGGAGATCGGCGAAGATGAAAAAGAATACAAGTATTTGAGACTCGATGAAAATAAGGTGCTACGAGCAGTGGCCTTTAACGACAAGGTTCAAAGTCTAAACAGTGCATACAAAGAGGCATTCCCCCCGCATACTTTGAGCATACCTGATGTAGATGATGATAGAGATTCACTGGTAGTACTTGATGATAGATTATTGATCTTGGGTATGACGCTCAAGTGGAGAACGTTTCGAGGCATCTTTGAGCCGTACGTTTATGACCCAGACATTGTTGAGTGGGAATATCTTACAGAATATGAGAAACCGGTTGTATCAGACTTGTACAAAAAGATTTTGAAAAAGAGGCAATATATTAAAGCACTTAACGGATTGGAAAAGGTGATAATTCCCCAGCAGTTTATAAATAATATGCTTCAAGATGACGACGATGACGTTTCTCAAATGACACTGTTTGACGAGGAACTGGATGAAGAAGCTGTGGTGGAATTGGTACATGAATCTCAAACACGTCAAGATGACGCCATTGCGTCCGATATAAATAATGCTGCTGAAAGTTCTGGGAGGGCAGTCTATTCTATAGAACGGGACTTGTCTCAAGAAAAACGTGGTAACGATAACAACAGTGAATTGGCGCGAGGTTTTGATAAATTCACTGAGGTACTCAACTCTAATAATGGAGGAAGTACCAAGAATGAACAGATATCACTGGATTTTGGACATAAAAGGGCCATATCCGGGCTTGGATACGAAGAAGCTGCCAAAAGATCGAGACAAGACCCTTCTTCGCCAGATGAGAATGACTTTTGTGATCCGCAACCGCAAACTTCGAGTGTCAAGAAAGCAAAAGATTCTCAACGTGCTGAACTCGATAACGATGAAGAGTTTACAACTATCAGTAAGTTGATCAAATTGAACAATACCGTGGATAACAAAGTGTACGCTGTTATATGTGAGGTTTTACATGCGACTCCGACAGACAAGGAGTTGCTTTCTTACAAATCATGTGAAGTTAATCCACTTACGGGAGAAATGGAATTGAGTCATACTCGACTACAAGGAATTGAATTCATTGTAACTGATGTTGCCAAACCGAAAAACTATGAATTGCAGGAAGGTGAGTACTTGTCTATTTACCTTGATGGTGAACAAGTATTGGCTTTGAGTCAATCAAGTGGCGCGACTAAGAGGCTACTCAATTTTGCTTGGGATAATGCTCGTGATGATACCATTATAACTTTAAACTTGCGCAAAGTGCAAAGAGAAGCTCTTGTATGGACTATTCAGTGATGATATCAATGCTGTGTAAATGGGTTGCTCGATAGTTGTATTGGAGCATGTGGATAGGCTTCATTGAGGAATTATTGTATGCTATACTTTGCTTAGTCTGTATCTAATTGAAGACCGGGATATCAGACAATAGCTCTAACTTTTGGAAACCGTTACAATTGCGAACCTAGATTGAAAATGGGCCGATATCTGCTATTCCGCGATTTTCCATTGGTAAACACCTCTATTACTTGGCAATAGGGGCAAACAATTGACGATTTAAATATAAATTGCTATATGACGTAGTTTAATCGTGCCACCCGTGCCTCTCTATTTTTAAAACGCATTTGCCAGGTTTCCATTGTTTGACAGATGCACGTGTCTCAAATCAAATTGAGGGCTTTTAATGTCAGTTGCAAATTAAAGTAATGTGACACAAAACCGGCGCAAACCAAAAAATTTATAACTTACCAATGATGGCATTGTTTCTGATGTAACTAGGGTTAGGAAACAAAGCCAAAACGGAAGACCATGTGGGGCATCAATCGGTAAATATAACTAAACAATGACAACAAGTTATGAAGTAGCATCCCTCTGTATGGCTTAGCTTGGCTATAAATACTCGTCTAAATCAATTGATTTGGACAATGCAAATGTGCACCATATAAGCGACACCAAAGATGATTGCAACCAAATTTATTTCCATTTTGGCCTTTGCTGTTGTTGTTTTAACTTACACTTTACCAGGTCACAGCTCCCTTCAACGCCAAGTGCTTGCCAAGAGAGCTAAGGGTGACCTTACCGAAGATATATATCGCAATTTGCCAGCAACTGAAATTGATTTTGTCAACCACCATATCAAAAATCTCACCGATGCAAGTGGTTCCAAGTGTGATAAATGTAAAAACAGATTGAAATATGCAAAGTCGTTGGTTGAAGAGTTTCCAGAACAAGAACATTTGGTAAGTTTGCTTTTGTATAAGGATTGTGTTAATAATAATGCAAAGAAGCCAAATTCATGCAATCTCAAGGAATTTTTCATCACTACTGATTCGCAAAATTTCGAAGCGTTTAATGACAATTTTGATTCTGGGATTACTTCAGGCACAAGTGTCAAT